TGGTCCAAATGGTAAAAAATTTGATCATGATTAAAAATAAAGCTACTTGTACCTTGGCATTCAAGTTAAGGAACATGACATAAACCATTGAATAATAGGATGCATCTTAATCCAAAACTTTTCCTCCAAAAAACTAAATTGTTTTTCTGTAAATAGAGGATCACACTTCAACATTGGAACAACACTGGGCTTTGTCACTACGCGAAAAATGGTACAGAGTCGCCACCAAATTTTATTTATCCCAAGGAGGGAAAGGGAAATAACAATAAAACCTTTAGGAAAAGAGCATGGTCACCGCAACCAAGGTTTAGGGTTCATGAGTCAGTTATATGAGGGGAAGATATTAGCACCCCTCACATCCATCATATTCGATGTGAACCTTCTAGGTTGTTTAGCTTGAATGGGTATTTTAATCTAAAAGTTTGCTTGTTAAAAGGAAATAGGGGTTGGTTTTTTATTAGAGTGCCCGCTAATGATTGTGGCCCTTGTGCCTACGTATCCCCACTTAAAAGAAGTGAAGAATCAGAGCTCCGTAGTTCGGAGGCTTGTGAAATGATTGTATGTTGGTTGATTTTATACCTTGAAAAAGGGTTTTCAGATTGATGCCCTAAGGTGAAAAGATGTTTGATGAGTTGATGTTATTTTTAGGTTTTTGAGAAGAAATTGTTTTTGATTAGGATCATACTAAAGACTTTAGATAGAGATGAATGTTTTGAATAACCAAGTCGAGCACCTTGTATTCAAAACATTCGAAACGAATGTAGGAGGGATTCCATTATCATTCCTTCTCCACCACTTTAAAGTTCATGGCGTATAACCCTAATCATATCTTTATTGTTTTTTATAGTTTTTTTATGAGAAAAATACCACTTGATGTTGGATCGAGGGTTTTATTGCTTGTAAAAATGTTTGAAGCGATGCGAACAAGGTCGATGGCGACGCACAATGCGATCGACTTACAAGGGTGAAAGTGGCTCGATAAAATCGAGAGTTTATTTTTGAAAATAGTTTTTGGAACCAAAAGTCAAAAATAACCGTAATAATAACCACATATATGTGTGAATGGAATATGTCGGAAAAAACGGGAGAAACAACAAAAAAAAGTGAAAAAACAGGGGCCTGACACGGCCGCCCGTGTTAGCTAACACGGCCCGTGTCAGGAAGTATCCCCAGCATTAATTTTAGAGGTAAAACAGGGAGCTGACACGGCCACCCGTATCAGCTGACACGACCCGTGTCAGCACCCCTGGGAGATGCGCAAGATGGAAGGTTAAAATAGCAGGCTGACACGGCCCGTGTCAGCCCTGCTAAGTGAAAGAAAACTAAACCTTTTCCTTTTTTTTCTTTTTACAATAGTTCTTGGTCACTCTTAAGACCTTACCACAATATGTACAACATAAATATCACTTAAAAGAGAGAATAAAAACAATGCAAAATATGTAAAGAGAGAAGAGTTTGAAAGAAAAGATACCCAAGAACTACTATACTCCTTCTAATCACCAGTGGCTTTTGTTGGATGTGCTCTATGATTCACTTCCTGCTTCTGGTTTTCTATCACTCTCTTATTCTCTCGATAGTTTTTCTTCCTTTTCTTTCTCAATCTCTTTTTTTCTATTTTTTTTCTCTTCTTCCCTTGCTCTCAATATCTCTCCTTTTTTTCTTAATGAATGCTCTCAATGTTTTCCAATCTCTCTTATTTTTTTGGTTTTCTCCCCCCTCTTATTCTGAATCTATCCCTTTTTCTTTGTTTGCTACTGCTCCCTCTCTTTTATGCTCAAAGCATTAGGGTTTTCATTTGTTTCAAAACTTCAGATTTCTTCATTGGGGAATACATTTTACCACTTTCTTGATGTCACTCTCTTTCTTTCCATTTTCATGAATGTTGATTTTCTGCTGCCCTTTTGCATTGCTCTCCTTTATCCACTTGTTCTTGGATTGTCCTTGTGGTCCATGCTTATACTTTTGACAATATTTTGAAATTCTGATATTTGATATGTAGATGCATCATCATGAGTCCATACCTTTGGTTTTGTGACATGAATTATTTGGTTATGAGGCAATTTGTCACTTCTTGCACGAGATTGTTATAGATCATATTAAAATTTCCCATGACTAAGCATGCATAGTCTTGATCTTGAAATGTTCCAATGTTAAGTTGAATCTTAATTATTTTCCTGGGATGTTTGTAGGCATAATGAGGAACATGTGGAATTGATGAGGCATGAAGGGTACCATAGCATGAAGTTTATTAGAAACTTGAATTAAGATTAGAAATATCTTAATTTTCTAAGCATTACTTAGAGTTAGAAACTTTGTAACAAATGTGACATTCTTGAAATGTCATGAAATTTCCCTTTATAATATTCTTGAATCTAATCTTGAATTCATGAATCTTGAATTTGAAATGATGTATCTCCCTTATGCCATTGAATTTGAAAGGGATGGAGTCTTGAATTATGAACTTGTGATCTTTTGAATTCCACTTGAACATAGAATTTGAAACAAGGTTGGATGAAGAAATCTTGAATTAGGCCTTGTACTTCATGTTCATTAAGAATATTGATCTTGAATATCTTAATATTTTTCAAGTAACTTCTCCTTGAAGGAATCTACATGAGTAGACTTTCCAACTTGAACCAAATCTTAGATGATGAACCTTTTCTCTCATGTAGCCCATGATAAGCAATTTATCTTATTTGAAATGGAAAACAACGAACCGACCTAATCCTTACCTTGTGAACCCACATGCTCGATATGCAATAGAACGATGTATGATATGACGAACGTAGGGTATGAAAGGCTAAAGGTGAAAATGAGGGTGTGACAGGCTTGGAGAGAAAAAACTAGAACTTGAATCAAACCACCATTAAAGCAAAAACATCCCATTCCACAAAACTTGCCAAAGTCTTCCATAACCATAAAACAAACAAACCACCTATCCGCATACACCATAATCACATAACAAAGTTATTCAAACCATCATCTTCATCAAAAAACACCTAAATAAAAAAGTCAACCCTCAACACCTCATTTTGTTGACTTTCTGTCAAAAGCATTCCAAATCTTCATCCAAACCTTTTCCAATCCATCTAACCCTTCAAACATCACCCATAAACATTGCACACACTGTCCAAAGTGTTATTTTTCAACTGTAACATCATTTACACCAAGATAAAATTCACACTTTTCATGTTTGCAAGAAGGATCGTTTCAAAGGTTTGAGGTTGTTTCCGCACAAAGTAAACATTCTAAAAGCACCTGAGGGGATCATAGAAGTCTTTTGAATCATCAACCACCTTCTGTAATCAGTGAAAGAGGCATTGGACCTTACTCCAATAGGTAAGTGCACTATGACTTGAAATTCCATGATTCGGGTATCATCTTCATTCATTTGAATTACAAACATGTTTGCCATGATGTAATGATCATTTACCCTAACTTAATTGTCATGAATCAGTCAAGTGTATGATTTCATATTGAATTATATATTTAGGGTTCCTTTTGGTTTCAATATGATTGTTTACAATGTGTTAATAATTAACGGAATTAGGTTATACCATCGTGTTCCTCATGAAAAATCAAACAACTTTCATTTTTATACCACTTGATTTCATTGAGTATCAAAGAAGTTAGTATTTCCAGAATTTCAAAAAAATGATGGCTAATGTTCAGGGTGATAATGAAGAAGATGACGCCATATTTCATTTTTAAAACCTTTTTTTAATATTTATTTTATAGTTGCCACATTACATCTTGAATATGCATTAAGCCGTAATGGTTATTGTTGTGAGTGTTAGCATGCGAGAGAGATGGGGTTCGAATCCCCATCGCATGCGAGAGTGTTAGCATGCGCGAGTGTTACCTTTGATCTCCTATTTGCATAGTCTTTAGCCTCGTCTTTAGTCTTGCATTTTTTACTTAGGGTTTATTCGTTCTTTTTCCCTTCCCTTGGATAAATCAAAGTTCGGTGGTGACATATTTTGTTTTGTGAGTCAAGTTAATGTAATAGCTTGGTCTCAGATTCTCACCGTGTACAACAGCTACAGTGAATTCGGGGTGGGTTTTCGGTGGAGACTTTAATGTTATCCTTCAGCTTAGTGAAAAAAAAAGGTGGTTGCCCTTTTACTCTCCAACGGTGTAATCAGTTCCAAAACCGTATTAATAACTGCAATCTACTAGATATGGGGAGTTTTGGATTTTTGTTTACTTTGTGAGGCCCTATGACTCATGGCGGTAAACACATCTATGAAAATTTAAACCGTGCTCTCTATAATGACAATTGGAGAAATACGTACCCTGAGGCACATGTGAAAGTGTTGCATAGGCTTGCATTTTCCAAATACCATCCCATCTTGTTGTCTCTCGTGGATACGAAATTAAGATAAGTGGCTAAAACCTTCAAGTTTGAATGTGCGTGGTTAATCGAGCACTCTTTTAAAGACATGCTCAAATCAATTTGGAACAATCAATAATTGATCCTTATTAATTTGGAAGTTTTCAAGAATACTGCTATTCATTGGAATCTTCATAGCATTGGCAACATCCGTAAGGAAAAGCGCATTCTTCTGCGACGTTTGCAGGGTATTCAAAAATCTATTTAGGCGGGAAGAGATCACGAGGGTATTAGGAAGCTTGAAAATCAGATTCAAGTTTCCATTTCCAAATTTCTCTATCAAGAGGAGCTCATTTGGTATCAAATAACCAAAATGTCTTGGATGGTGGGTGGTGATCGCAATATTAAATTCTGTCACACTAGAGGCGTGCATCGTAGAAAATGCAGCACCACCATAATGCTCAAGGATAACTCTAAAAACTAGATCGATGATGAGCATACTATCAGATCTCTCTTCCACGATCATTTCAAGCTTATTTTTACCTCTGAGACTAAAAACTCAAAGTGGTTTTAGACTGTTACTCAATTTCCGTCCCTTTACCAGTCTATTAGAAAATATTTGCAAGCTGAGGTCCAAGACGATGAGATTAAAATGACGCTTTTTGCTATGTTCTCCTGGAAATCCCCTGGTCCAGATGGTTACCCAGCAAGTTTCTGCCAAAATACTTGGAATTACATTAGGGCTAATCTTTGCCAGCTTATTCACCAACTATGGTCTAAAGACATTTCTATGAGTACCGTGAATCTGACAGACAACTATTTAATTCCTAAAAACGACAACCCTAAACAAGTCTCATACTATCGTCCTATTTCTTTATACAATAATATATATAAAGTGTTCACTAAAGTTATTGTAAATAGGCTAAAGTATCACATGGATTCTATTATCTCCCCAAATGAATATGGATTCATTCCCAATCAAAGTTCGCGTGATAATGTTGTCCTTGCTCAAGAAATGTTTCACGGTATAAACAGATCAAAACAAAAAATTAGGTCTTTCGCTATTAAGATCGATCTAGCTAAGGCTTTTGACAACATGAGGTGGAAAAAGGATGTTATGAGGCTAGCATCTTACGATGATGTTGGTGCCCATTCCTCTTACTTGTATCAAGAAAATTCAAAAGTGTCAAAGAGACTTCATTTGGAGTGACTCGTTGGTGAAGAAGCATCTTCATTCCATCCGTTGGAGCATTCTTACTAAAGACAAAAAGTTTGGCAGTCTCGGTCTTAGAAATTTGTCTCTCATGAAAAAAGCTTTTCTTGCTAAATTGGGGTGGAAATTCAAGGCAGATAATAGTTTGCTTTGGTGTCGTCTTATGAAGAGTAAATATTCTACTAGGATGCATAAAATGGATAGATTTGCAGCTAAAGCTTCTGACTCCTGCATTTGGAAGGTAATCATTAGTCTCAGACCAACTTTGGACTCCATGGCTTATTAGGAGGTTGGAAATGGATCTTCTATTAGATTGTGAAAGACGCTTGGGTTGGACCTGGTATTTTCCTCAAAGATTTGGAAATTCCTCATTCAAATAAGCTTTAACACCTCACTCATGTGAAAAACCTATTGTCTGCGGATGGCACTTGGAACTGGGCTATTATTAACAAATTCTTCGCAGCTCATATATTTAGTAAAATCCATGCAATTTGTCATCCCTCTATTGAATTTAATTATGCGGATAACTGCAATTGGAGTGGTTTTAATTCTGGGAAATTCACGATCGCTAGTCGGTATGACATTCTTAATCGTAATTAGGAAAAGGTTGATAACACTGTCTGGAAGCACATTTGGCAACTTCAACTTCCTGAAAGGATGTGTAATTTTATTTGGAAAATATTAAAAATACTTATCTTCATCATCTTCAGTTGCGGAATAACACTTGTGACGTTTGCAATATGGCTACTGATACTATTATTCATGCGCTGCGTGATTGTAGTTTTGCTAAACGAATTTGGTCCCAGCTTGTTAGCCGTCAAAAGCAAGCTCAATTTTTCTATTCTTCTCTGATGGATTGAATTTCGTCCAATGTTTCTTTTCCCGACCAATCTTCCAACGATAATTGTCATCATATTTGGAATTGGCACAATAAACGTACTCATGATCCTTGTTTTGCGATGCTTCTTAATCCTATCCTTGATATCCAAAATTTCATTTGGCATTAGAGGAATAACAAGAATTTGTCAGCTAAAATTACCCATTCTGCTAGAGTCCTCACTGCTGTTCATTGGCAACCTCCGACTTCGGATTGGGTGTGTTTCAACTCTGATGGGGCTGCTAAGCATGGTTTAGGTGCTGCCCGTTAAGGGCTTTATTGTGATAAGCTACATAATTGGTTGGGTGGTTTTCATAGCTTTCTGGGTGATTGTAGCAGTGTTTTCATAGAGCTTTGGGGTGTGTGTTTGGGGATGGATTTAACTTAGAAGCATGGCTTTAAGAAAGTGATAGTTCAAGTTGATAATGTAACACCCTTTTCTACCCCACAAATAAATGGCATAATAATCCCATATATCAGAGTAAAAGATTAAACTCAATAAAAATCACCTCAAAGGGCATACATTTCCCAATTAAATCAAAAATAGGTCAAGGCTCCGTAAACAACGAGTTTTCCCAAAAGATATCAAAAATTTCACAAAGGCAGCGGAACTCAAAAGGCATAATCCCAAAGTTTTCCTTATACAGAAAGATAATCAAAATAACACAATAAAACATGGTTTAACTCAAGATCCAAACCCGATGTTACACTATTATCAGAGCAAGACCCTCTAAGACCAACAACTCGAAACTTCAAAAGTCCTCAACGACATCCATGGCTAAGCCTGGTCATCTGCACGTTACCCACGAGGAGGCAACATTCAAACAGGCAGGGTGAGTAAAACGACTCATAATAATCAATGTAGCAAATCAACATATCAAATGGTGTCATTTTCATATTCAACATCATCAATGGACATCAAAGGCCACATCATCATAATTGACTCAAAATCATCTCATAAATGCAAATGCAACAAGACTCAATGCATATGGTACCAATCATCACAACTTGATGGACACTGGGCCATCATACCCTCCATAGATCCCCATCAATAGGATTGATTCTACTCGAGAACCGGAGCACATCAAAATACCTCACATCCACACAATGGGATTGAAGCCAAAGTAATCAAGGTCCTGAACCGAAGTCCGGATGCACATGAATGCATGATGCACACGCCAATAATCATCCTCATAATAACATCATAGGTGCATCATCATTCATCATAATCATCATCATCATCATAGAATCATCAAAACTCATGGAAATATCATCATAGTTCATCAATCATTACATCATAGGAAACATCATATAATCATTTACAAATTACAGTCATACTCATATTAATTCGTCAAAGAAATCACAACATCAAAGCATCAAGGTATCACTGCACAAAATCAGAATTCGAGAAACTCTGCTATGTTCGCTAGCAAGTTTGCTGTGCGAGTCTGGGGCGAGTTTCTTTGTTGTGCGAAGGATTCTTCGCAGTGCGAGTCTGGGACGAAATCATTCGTTGTGCGAACAACGCGATGACAGCAAAACGCTGTTACGCACCAGGACCTAAAATCAACCCAAAAGTCCCACGATTCACTTTCCCAATGCCCCTAAAACATCCCTAAATCATCCCTAAGGTCTTACGGCGATAAAGGCACAAAACCTACGGTTTATTAGGCCAATTCCGCATCATATTCACGCTCTAAATCTCATAAATCCCTACCACTACACCATAATCATCAGAGTTCCTCACTATCCAATTTTCCTACGGGGTTAGGCAAATGTCAAATTAGAGTTTTAGCCACGAAGGCCTAATTTCCCTTAACCCAAATAAATCCCTATGGTTAAAATCTCAATAATAGATTTAGGCCACGAAGGTCAAATTTCCTTTATCTCATAATTAGCCTCAAACCCTTAAACCCTTAAATCGGCCTTAAATACATTGAAATTACACATTGAAAACAATGAAGGTAATACTCCCCATACCTTAATTGTCTACTCTAAGCCTTCTCAAATCTTTGAAAGAACCTTTCGAAACTTTTGCCTCAATTCTTCCCTCTCAGAGCTCTGACCTCAATTCTTTTCACGGTCTAACAAAATGAATCCTAATCCCATCAAAATTTCCTTTTTGTTAAACCTAACCTTGAGCCTCAAAATTGAGTTTTCTCAATATTATCCTCACTAACTCCTCCTCAATTGTCCAATTTACCCTTAGTTAACTTATATTTATTTAAATTAATAATAATACTAATATATTCATATTATATACTATTATTTAAATAAATAATCCCAAAAATCCATAATTCTCAGTAATCCACAACAAACCCCCGAAAATTACCAAAAATGCGAATATTCTTATTTAAATAAATTAAATAAATATTTTGATAAAATTTGGGGTGTTACCCAATAACAAATATGTGGTGGAAGCGCTCTAAGACGCTTCTAGTCATTTTAGGCATAATTTGAATTTGATTAGACAAATTTCCCGTCTTCTTCCACATTTTGAAGAAGTTCGTTTTCAGCATATTTTCAGATAAGCTAATCAGCGTGCGGATTCTTGCAAAGTTTAGACTGTCGAATTTGTTTGGAGGTGTCCTGGTTGGATAAGTGTCATTTATCTTTGCAGAGTTTGATTAAGCTTGATAATTCTAAGATTTATGAGGCTTTTAGCCTAATTTTCTTGTTTGGAATTTGTTCCCTCCCATAGTTAAATTTTTTTTTTTGGTATTTTCAAAATTACTTATATTTGTTTTCACAATAACAATAGAGATACATAGTCCATTCAAAAGTTATCTTTTTGAGATCCTTTATTCATTTATTTCATCCATCTCATAAAAATTATATCAATTGCATTGTTCAAAATAATTATTTTTTATAATATTAATAAAATTTTATTTATTTTCACTATTATAGTCTTATATATTGATTTTTATTTTATTCATTTACTCCACTTGCTATAATTAATTTATTTTTAATAAATAATATTAATTTTATTATTAAAATCAAGACACATGCTTAAAGAAGAGAATAACTTTTATCGGAGGAAACCAAATAAAGAAATATAATAAACGTGTCTAAAATGAGAATATATTTAATAAGAGGCAATGTGATGAAGCATCCTTTAGTGAGATCAGAAGGAATATCCAACATCTCATCCACAATGTGTGAACAAAATCGACACCTCGTGGAAGAAATACTACTTCACTTTAAAAAAAAATAAAAAAATACTCCCTCCATTTTTAAATAGACGAAATTTTTTCTTTTAAAATAAATATAATTTTTATTTTTTAATATAATAATAATTGATATTTTTTCAATTGTGTCATATAATTATTACTTTTTACATTATTTTTAATACATTAATAAGATTAATTTAATAAAAATATAATATTTTATAATAATATTAATATACAGAAATCTTAAACGACAATCATTTTAAAATGTTGAGAATATCTCTTAACAACTCACGTTAGACAATGATGTGTACACATTGCACCACATTTATCAGATCTGAAAGAAAGAAACAAAAATTGTTTCACATGACAATCTTCTGTACTAGAGCCACAAAAATGATAATTTATTAAAAACAATGATATTTGTTTGTTTGCCTAATTATAAGACTTTATAAATTATTGTCCACATATTAAAAAAATGATATTGTAAATAGTTGTGTATAATTATTATATAACTGTTTTTTCATAAATTAAAGCTTTTATTTTCAGAGACTTAAAATTACAATATTAATAAATTATAAAATATTATAAAAAAAATATTTAAAAATAGAGTGGTATATATATATCTTAGGGATTACCGAAGAGACAGAAAAATTCAAAATTTTTTACTGTAAGTATTATTGATGTTTTGAAGATAATTGTATTCTGAAAATCTGTGTGTAAAAGCTCGTAGAATAGTTTATTAGGATGATAGTATCGACATGTGAAAGGTACAACGAAACTGACAAATTAAAGAGGCGAGTGGTCCCTATGTTCTGCTACACGAAATCTGACCGTTGATTTTTTTTAATCTTAACACGTTGAAATTCAGAAGGTGAGACCAATTATTGATGCTTTACTAGTTAGCCAGCTGTAAAGTTTTTTGTGTGGGGGTATAAAAGTCATTTACCCCA